ACTGGTGAGGTTAGCATCTTTTCACATGCTTACTGGCTATGTTGTTTTCTTGAGAAGTTCCTGTTTTGCTTCTCCTTGGTTAATGCTGGATTTCCTTACCAAAAATCTTGCCCATGGGATGGCTTTGCTTGTTATTTACGCAAACTGAGATTAATTTTGTATTTCAGAAATACAGCATTACAGAGCTATAGGTAACACAGGATTACTTGGTAAAACCTCCTTCCAGATGAGCAAATTGGGGCTTAAAAATGCTAACTGTGGCTCAAAAAGGTTGAGGCTCAGCTGAGTGACTTACTCAAGGTACACAGGTAAGTACTGGAGTTATTAAAATTTAGCTTTCCTGACAACCACTCTATTTCACTTTCCATCTACAGCATCATTTTATCTTATTAAGAGATGTTTTTACCAATAAATGGAGACCCAACAAACTTTTCTCCATGAGGGCTCAGATTTGGATAGGATAGTTAATCAAAAGGAATGTCCATATATACTTACTACCCAGGCCAAGAAAATAGATTTGCACTTCTTTTCCCCCCACTGTAACCTTTTGTAACAGAATAGGTGAAGTATCTTTCCTGCCTAGCTCCTCTAGCCCCAGTCACACTGAGATCAATAATCCCCTGGGCTCCTTTTCTGCCTCATTACCATTCTAATTTGCCTTAGTTGAAATCACCTAGGGTATTAGGGTCCCCCCCCCATTCTAATAAACAAACCTTTTAGATTAAGGGAAAAGAGAAAAGGGGTAAGACCAGCTTATCTTAGTGGGAAAGGAACTGGGAAAATTGGAACGTGGGAAGCCAAGTGCTGCTGAGTGTATCCCGGGTATTCAGCAACACACCCACGTTTCACGGAGGGTCTGGGATCCTCCCAGGAAAAATGCGGTGTAGGGCTGCAAATAGGCAAGGGCTCTGAAACAGCGAAGAGCAGTGAGAGGATGCATCACAGCCAGTTATATTTTAAAGCAATCGGGAGATCGGAGCGACAGAAAGGGCCTGACTGGTGTGCAACTGATGAGGGCACACATTTAGAAAGGCGAGCTGACACTTTACAAAGATGCTGCTGCTGAGCTCAGTGTGCACCTATGCGCCCCCTTTCAAACACAGCACAAAGGCCTTTTTCAAAAGAGCAATTTATGATCGCTAAGGAAAACCTGGAATAATGAATAACATTATGACCCTCCAGCCTCTTCTGTGCATGTGCACACTACATACACAAAACACTGGTAAAATGCTACGCATGCTGTTTTTTAAGGTGCTTTTCTCACCTATTAAGGTGCTTAATATATTGAGCTTCCTTCCAATTATTACATGTATCTTTAAAACATGATTGATAGTGGCTATATAGCATTTTATTACGTAAAATAATTGCATCAGACAAGCCCCTTTGCTAGACGATGTTTATGTTCCTGTATTTGCATTCTAACAAATTTCAGGTATGGGTAGAATTTCAGGTCAGAGTTATTTCTTAAACAAAAAATAATTATTCTTAAATTTTTTTATTCTTAAAAATTAAAAAGATTTTCAATGTAAAAAAAAAATCAGAACTATACAAAAGCACAAATAAACATCATCTATAACCCCACCAGCATTTGCATTTTGGTATACACACCCTTCCAGTTTCCTAAAAACACGTAAACCTTCTATACCAAATGAAGTCACTAGGCAGTTTCATAACTGGGTCCCTCATTCAGTATCGTGCAATGTCGTACTTCTAGCTGTTCTTCAAAAACATGACTTGTGATGGCTGGTTTTCCACTGCAGGCTCACGTCACACCTACTAGGCTAAGTGCCACAGAGTGGCACTTTGTGCGAAGAGCAGTGTTCAATAACCATTTATCCAAAGAACACGTGGATTTAATCAACCAACTCCTTGTTGCTGGATATTGAGTTTATTTCAAACTTTTACCGTTACAACAAACTTACACAAAACTTTTGCGGACAGCTCTAATTACTTCCTTAGGCTCAAACTTCCAGAAGTAAAATTTATTTGGTCAAATGGTACACATTTTAAAACATAATTAGGATGAAGCCCTGGCCAGTGTGGCTTAGTGTGTTGAGTGCTCACATGTGAACCAAAAGGTCACCAGTTTGATTCCCTGTCAAGACACATGCCTGGGCTGCATGCCAGGTCCCCAGATGGGTACATGAGAGAGGAAACTGATGTTTCATTGTTTCTCTAACATGATTTTTTCCCTCCCCATCTTTTTTCTCCCTCCTTTCTCCTGTCTCTAAAAACCTTAAAAAAAACCCCTGTAATTAGGATGACCATGTGATTTATCATCAAACCAAATCACTTCTGAGAAGAAAAGGGGACATACTTCAGAACTGCACTGGGATGTAGAAATGACGTTACCACACTTGTAAACTCTGCCTTAGAGGCTACAGCAATTTGCCATATTTTGCCAGGTATAATGCGCACCCACATTTTTGGCCCAAACTTTCAGAAAAAAAAAAACAAAAAACAAAAACCCTTTCATTTAAATTTTTTAATTCATTATTTTATTTATATTTAGAAACAAAACTCATCATTGTATTCCAGGGTATTATTTTCCATATGGATATTGTTATTGCTTTCTAGAGTTTAATGCATAAGCATAAATAAAAGAATTAAAAAACATTATCAAGATACGGAGTTAGTACTATCCATGTATAATATGCATACTCATTTTTCACTCAGAATTTTGAGCAAAAAAGTACGCACTATACATGACAAAACACAGGTACATTCCCACTAGCAGGGCACCAGAGCACCAATTTCCCCACTCCCAACCTCTGTGCCTCCACTCTTGGTGTCTGTCACATACAGACTAGATCACAATGAATGTACTCTGGCATTGGTAGTAAGAAATAGAGAAAAAAGGAATACATAACCTTAGTCCCTTCCCCTGGCATCAGGTTCCTTTCCAGAGGGGTCTAGCTTCCTTTCAGGTATTGGCAAATGTTTTCTGTAAGAGGCTAGACTGTTATCTTTTAGGCTCTGTATAGGCTACCTGGTTTCTGTTGTAATGACTCAACTTTGTCAGTCTAGCATGAAAGCAACCTCAGATAACCCGGAAACAAATGATAGTCTGGCTGTGTTCCAATAAAACTTTATGGACACAAATTTGAATTTCATATAATTTTCATGTGTCACAAAATATTATTTTTGTTTTGATTCCCTCACCCCCCGCAATCACTTAGAAATGTAGGAACTATTCTTAGTCCATGGGCAGCACAAAACTAGGAAGAGGGTCACAGTTTGCGGCCCTGACTTAGAAAATGTTTGGTGGGAACTAAAACAAAGGGAGCTGGGCCAGGGAGGCACCTGCTCCTCTCTGGGTTGACATCAGTTTCCACCGGCTTCTCATGACACACACACCGAGCTTCGTGGAGCATGAGTGTACGGTATGAGTACGTATGTTTTGTACAACACTGCCCCTAAACACAAGTCAACACCTTTATATAACATTTAATTGAATAAAGAGCAATGTACTAAAATGTTGGAGGATAAGCTGACTGTTGGTTTATTAAACAGTATGTTGGTTCCCAGTGGGTCACATATAATCTACATTACGGAAAATTTAAGGAATATTTCCTATAATGTACTAATTTTATTTTTACTTGTATTTTAGCCTCACCTGAAGACATTTTTTCATTGCTTTTTTAGAGAAAAACATCAATGCAAGAAGTACTGGCTAGCTACCTCCTGTACGCATCTGGACCAGGGATGGAACCTGCAACCCTGATATGTGCCCTGACTGGGAATTGAAACCAGGAGCTTTCCTTTATGGGATGATACTCCAATCAACTGAGCCAAACTGGCTGGGGCTTTAATGACTAATTTAAGAAACTAGTTACATATAAGGATTACTCTATTAATTTTTTAGTCCTTCTAAAACAAACAAACAAACAAACAAACAAACAAACAAACACACACCCCTACATGCCCTGGCCAGGTAGCTAAGTTGGTTAGAACACTGTCCCAATATGTCAAGGTTGTGGGTCTGACCCCTGGTCAGGGCACAAGCAGGAAAATCAGCCAGTGAATGCATCAATAAGTGGAATGACAGACCAATGTTTCTCTGAAATCAATCAACTGATCAATCAAAAACCTACCACGAATTACAATATGAACTCAATGGTCAATGCTCATAAGAAAAAGGACAGAATAGAAATGAAAATTCAGCAAATCACATTGCAAGCAGCAGTTATCACAGTGGCTTCCAACCAGCCATCCATACAAGTGAGCTGGGATGTTCCTACGCATCCAAACAGAAGTAAAATAATGGCACAGGATGTTTCCAGAAAGGAGCACTAAATTCTCATTATCATTTGAAATAATCAATTTCCCTCTAGGAAGACGGAAGTAAATATTATCTTCACTTCACGAATGAGGAAACTGAGGTCCAGAGAAACGTCCAGTAACTTCACTCAGGGTACAGTGAGTTGAGTTGGTGGGGGTACAAAGATTAAAACGACGCTTCATGTATTTTCCAAGCCTACAGTTAAAGACAGCAGTGACTGGGACATCAAACAATATTCTCTCCTCCGAGACAGCCACGAAGGGTACTTAGGGAGAGCAGGATGGTGCAGGGTAGAAATGGCTAGAGAACTTTAAAAGCAAGAATAACACAGTGCGCAGAAGCAGGAAAAAACTACTCCCAGATACATTAACCCTCAAAGATAGATACAGATCTTTAATTTAAAACCGAGTAAGTTTATTCACAGAGAAAACAGTACAGAACATTCCTAGAACTCTTTCAGTCCAACCATTAAAATAGCCTTAAAAAGCCAACAGTTTGGAGACCTAAAAGACATCTGGAGAAACTACTGTTACCTTTCCTTGAGTTTATAAATATTTACATTTTAGGAAAGAGATGGCTGTGATTAATTTCTTTTGTAGGGGGTGAGATTTCCATTTCCATTGTCTTAGTGGTTATAGGATTCTTCTGTGAAGGCCAGAAAAGATGGAAGATCAAAAGATTTGACATTAACGAGAAGAATGAATAAGTGAGACTAATGGCTGGTTCATGGAACTGCAATTTTATCACAAAATCACTAGATAGGTTGGTGGGAGGGCTATCACATTTCCCATTAACAAAATCTGAGGTATTTAAAGACTCCACAGCCATGGAAACTCATTTCTACTTCCCTCAGAGGTAATCGAGAGGCTGAGAAGGCTCTTGTAGAATGTCCTACCTCCTTGGGTTTCTCACTGCCTAAGCAGGACTGCACCATGTCAAACACCGGTCTGGTCCAGTCCTGGTTAGGCAGTGCAGTGTTTGTGATGAGTCGGTTCACTCTTCAGAAGGGGTTCCAAGGCAACAGTGTGATCAATGATGAGTTTTCCCGTCTCTGTTTTGGCCTGTCTTGGTGCTGAAGCCAATGGCAATACAAAATGGTGCAGTCATTTACTATAAGATCTGCCTAAGTAAAAGGAGTGGGCTCTCCCAGTCTCAGCTGTCAGGGTTTAACCTAGCTCGTTTTACTTGGCTATTCTCGTCATCTAGGTGGCAGAAACCTTCAGCAGTGATGTCTCTTTTATTCTCCTCCGTGGGTTCCAAAGGGAAGTCCTGGTCTGTGGCCAGTACCTGTCGGACAGTCATGTTAACACGAGCCGTTTTCAAGTAGCTGGCACACACCTGCCAGTCCTCCGCAGAACAGCACTCTACCACCGAATCTCTGGGGACGACAGCCGGGGGAGGTGTTTCTAGGCAGCAAGGCAGGCTCTCCCCGTTGGAACTTGGAAGAACCTTTGGAACTGCATGGTTCAACAGGCGACTGAAACCTGACATTACCATGATGTCACCGCTGTGCATAAACATGGCTGTGGGGGCTTCATCTCTTTTGAGGCCACCAAGGAGAAAGATGGCAGACTGTCCAAAGCTAAAAAAAAGTAAGTAAAACACACAACAGTAAGTTTCTGTTAACTAACCGTGGTTGGTGATGTTACTGCTAATTGTATTATTTCCTAATTTCAGCTCAATACTTATTGCTCCTAAATCTTCCTTTTCAAAGAGTGCTATGCTCCTTCTCTTTTGGCTTTTGTGTCTATGAATGACCGATCCATAATCTGCTACTTAAACTTGTCATAGCCCACAGGACTGCAGTGACATAAAATTTGAAGCAGTTAAAAAAGCAAAGTAAGAATTTAGTTTTAACATTATCCATGTAAGTTTTATTGATGCCTCTTTAGGATTTAAGTCTTCCAATAAAATTACAGTAGTCCCCCTTTATCCTGTTCTGGTTTCTGCAGTTTGTAACACGTTCTCAACTGTGGTCCCAAATTATTAAATAGAAATAAACTATTCAAGAAACAATTCATAAATTTTAAACTGCACCCTGTTCTAGTAGTGTGATGAGATCTTGTAGTGGGCGCCCTGATCCGTCCAGCCTGGACACGATTTTTTATCCCTTTGTCCAGCGAATCCATGTGGTATACACTCCCCACCCATTAGTCACTTAGTAGTAACTCAGTTATCAGATCAAATGTCCGGGTATTGCGGTGTCTGATTCAAGTAACCCTTATTATACTGAACAATGGCTCCAAAGCATAAAAGTAGTGATGGTAGCAATTCAGATATGCCGACCAGAAGCCAAAAAGTGGTTCCTTTAAGTGAAAAGGTAGAAGTTCTTGACTTAATAAGAAAAAAAATTTCTTACTAAGGTTGCTAAGATACAGTCAGAACAAATCTACCTGTGAGCTTGTGAGGGAAAAAGGCATTTGTGCTAGTTTTGTTGTTGTACCTCAAAGTACAAAAGTTACAGCCGCAGTGAGTGCTTAGTGAAGATGGAACAGGCACCACGTTTGTGGGTGGAAGACACGGACTGGCAATGTGTTCTAACTGACAGCAGCATGTTGTGCCCAGAAGCACTGAGCCTGTCCAAAGACTTCAGCAAGGGACCCCCTCAAAGTACTGACCACATTCATGTAACTCTTATTATAATCTATTGTGTTAGTCTCTTCCTGTGCCTAACTTATGAATTCAGCTTTATCGTAGGCTATGTATGTAAGGAAAAACCACAGTATGTGTAGGCTTTGGCACCATCTGTGGTTTCGGGTATCTCCTGGGAGTCGGGGAATGTATCCTTCGTGGAGAAGAGGGGAGTACGACATTTAAGCCCTTCACCGTCTTTATCATTCCTGTCCATTTTAAAGATAAGGTAACAATAAAAGATTCTGTCAGGCACTCTCTTTGTCAGATACAGGTGCAGTACGCTGTATAAATTCCAACTTATGTTTAGGGAGACAAGAGGGACCTATTTAGGCTTGTGAGCTTTGCTCTTCTCCATTCCAAAAGAGATGCTTACTCTGCTATATGGTCCTGCACTTGCCTATTCCACAGACACTGACAATACCTCTCATTACAAAAGGCAGACTCCATGCATCTTCAACAGAAATATGAACTGTGACTTGGTTATTCTTAAAGGACTATACTAGTTTTACTTATGATACATTGTTAAAATGCCCAGAAGTGAAAAATTATAGATCCAGTCATTTTTCACAAAAGTTTAATGTTTTTGGATGCATATAGGGGTTCTGACCAAGATAGAGATGTAGGTAGAAATGCTTTGCTTCCTCACACAGCCAAAAGAAGGATAACAACCAATCTAAAAACAATAAACAACCAGAAGTGCCAGAAAAATCAAACTGCATGGAACTCTGACGACCAAGGAGTTAAAGAAACATCCACCCGGACTGGTAGGAGGGGCAGAGACCAGAAACAGGAAGCTCAGTGGAGAGGTCACACGGCAAGGCACAGACTACATGGGCAAGGTGGAGCTGGCTGAGAGGCCTCCACAAGGTGGTGGACTGTATGAGTGAAATAAAGCAAAATATACAGCTAACCAACAGGGCTGTGTGAACAGGAAACTGAAGATTCAAGTTGCCCTGGCCGGTGTGGCTCAGTGGAATGAGTGCCAACCTACAAATCAAAAGGTCAGAGGTTCGATTCCCAGTCTAGGGCACATGCCTGGGTTGTGGGACAGGTCCCCAGTTGGGGGCACTCGACAGGCAACCACACATTGATGTTTCTCTCCCTTCCCCTCTATAAAAATAATAAAAATCTTAAAGAAAAATAAAATCCTTTAAAAAATTCAAGCTAGCTGTAAACTACTGTGCGGGATGCCATGGCAGGGGGACGAGGCGGGGTGGGGAGGAGACGGATGGACGACGACTCCCAGTCTCATATAAGGGAGATTGTTGCAAAGAGAGGCTACAGCAGAGCAAGCCAGCTGCACTGTTCCCTCACTGACCCCTCCCCCACAGACAGTGCCACATAGCAGCAAAAGAGGGTGTCCTCACCCTGGCAAATACCTAAGACCCTGCTCCCCTACAACATTAACAGGTGCACCAAGACAAAGAAATATGGCCCAAATGAAAGAAAAGACCAAACTCCAGAAAAAGAACTTAGTGACGAGGACACAGACAACCTACCAGATGCAGAGTTCAAAACACTTGTAATCAGGATGCTCACAGAAATGGTTGAGTATGGTTGCAAAATAGAGGAAGAAGTGAAGGCTATGCAAAGTGAAATAAAGCAAAATATACAGCTAACCAACAGTGAAGGGAAGAAAACTGGACTCAAATCAACAGTTTGAAACAAAAGGAACAAACAAACATCCAAACAGAATGAAGAAACGAGTATTCAAAAAAAATGAGGAGAGGCTTAGGAACCTCTGGGACAACTATAATCACTCTAACATCCAAATCATAGGGGTGACAGAAGGAAAAGACCAAGAGCAAGACGTTGAAAACTTATTTGAACAAATAATGAAGAAAAACTTCCCCAATCTGGCGAAGGAAATAGACTTCCAGGATGTCCAGGAAGCCCAGAGGCTCCCAAAGAAATTGGACCCAAGGGGGAATACACTAAAGCACATCATCATTAAACTACCTAAGATTAAAGATAAAGAGAGAATCCTAAAAGTAGCAAGAGGAAAGGAGACAGTTACCTACAAACGAGTGCCCATAAGGCTATCAGCTGATTTCTCAAAAGAATCCTGACAGGCCAGAAGAGACTGGAAAGAAGTATCTGAAGTCATAAAAGGCAAGACCCTACATCCAAGATTACTCTATCCAGCAAAACTATCATTCAGAATGGAAGAGCAGATAAGTGCTTCCCAGATAAGGTCAAGTTAAAGGAGTTCATCATCACCAAACCCTTATTATATGAAATGTTAAAGGGACTTATCTAAGAAATAGAAGAAAATGAAAAACTATGAATAGTAAAATGACAACAAACAACTATCAACAACTGAACCTGAAAAACAAGAAACTAAGCAAACAACTAGAACAAGAACAGAATCAGAGAAATGGAGATCACATGGAGAGTGTTCGGTGGGGGAGGGGAGGGGAAATATTACGGGGGAAGGTACAGGGAATAAGAAGCATAATTGGTAGGCATAAAACAGAAGGGGAGAGGTTAAGAACAGTATAGGAAACAGAGAAGCTGAAGAACTTGTATGTTCAACCCATGAACATGAACAAGAAGGGGGGAATGCTGGAGGGTTGGGGGGTGCAGGGTGGAGGGGAGATAAAGGGAAGAAAAAACTGGGAGAACTGTAACAGCATAATCAATAAAACATACTTAAAAAAGTAAAAAGTTTAATGTTTTTATTTTAGTTTAAACATGCTTTAGAAACGGAATGAGGTGATAAAAAGTAATCCCGAATCTCTAGAACAAACTTACCTGAATGATAGCAGGGGCCTGGAGTGATCAAGTTCAGATTTATCTACGTGAATGCCCAGCGTGGAATCCAATCGGTAGTAATTCAGGATCCCTGCTTCGGCTCGGAAACCCTGAAACCCACAGGCAGCAGCTACTTGCTCTGAGAGGAAAGCCAGGTCAGAAGGGAAAGGTGTATAATGATCTGCTGAGTATTTCTTTAATAAAAGCAGGGAAAATAAGAAAAACAATGATCTCAGGAAAGTAGGAAACTGAAATAAGTTACCATTTTAATTACCATTTAAAAGTCATCTAGCTTACACGAATATTAACATAGCATGATTTATTCATCCATTCTTTGAGGCATCCCAGAATCTAACAATAAGCCACTCAAAATATTGAGTGCCTATTGTATAGCAGACAGCGCTATGCAGAGATAAACTAGAAAAATTCATGCTTCAGGGAGTCTATACATTAAGCAATGACTACAACCTCTCTCTAGTATACTTTAATCCCAAACAGAATAGTTCTTTTAGGGTTAAAAGGTAACTCAGTACTGTTACTGCAGCCCTGGCTGAGTGGCTCATTTGGCTGGAGCATCAAACCATATACCAAAAGGTTATGGGTTCAATCCCCAGTCAGGGCATATACCTAGGTTACAGGGTTCGTATCTAGATTACAGGTCTGATTCCCTGCGGGGAGGCAACTGATTGATGATTCTCTTTCACATTGATCTCTTTCTCTCTCTCTCTCTCTCAAATCAATAAAAAATAAAAAAGATGACCTAGAGATGCCTAAAGAAACATAATGACTACATGTAATGTGGGTGTCCTGGAACAGAAAAAGTACAGTTAAATAGAAAATTTGAATGATGTATGTATGGACTTTACTCTTATAATAATGTATTACTTATTGGTTTACTAATTGAGACAAAGGTACCATTTTAATGATAGAGACAGGTGTTAGTAGGAGGAACTGGGCACGGGGTATATATAGGAAATCTCTATACTACATTTTATCTTTTCTGTAAATCTAAAAGTAGCCTGAAATACAAAGTTTATTATTATTTTTTTAAAAAGGCAACTCAGATTGAGTGCCGGCCTGCAAACCAAAGTAACTGGTTCGATTCCCAGTCAGGGTACATGCCTGTTGCAGATCAGATCCCCAGTAGGGGGCGCAGAAAAGGCAACCTCACATTAATGTTTCTCTCCCTATCACCTTCCCTTACCTCTCCCTAAATAAAATCTTAACAACAACAAAAAGCCACTCAAATACTATTGCCAGTTTGGTCATGGACCCCTCAGACTGACATTTGGTTTAGTGCTGGGTTCACTGGTGGTCACTCTGAGGGACAACGTGCTCAAGACATCTGAACTGAAACCGACTCACACCATGCCTCGTGGCAGGACCTTAACATGAAGTCATTTAGAGCACACACCAATCCGAAATTCCTTTATTTTTAGCATCTAAGGATCACAAATACCCTCTTCTCTTAAACAACAACAAAACAAAAAACCAAACAACAACAACAAAGAAACTCCAGCTCTGGCCACCTAGCTCAGTTGGTTAGAGCATACGTGACACACCAAGGTTGCAGGTTTGATCCCTGGTCAGGGCACACAGGTTTCTCCCTCTTTCTCTCCCTCTTACTCTCTCTCTAAAATCAATAAACAAGCCTTTAAAGAAATCAAAGGCCAGAACACCTACTCTCTGCACAAAGCCTATCCACGTCATGAGAATGACAGACAGCAGTCTCCTGTACAGGTGAGTTGGAGAGGTTTCTTGGCCACGCGGCGGCAGCAGCCTGACACTTTTCCTTGGTCTGGATGTGCTCCTCCCACTTCTCCTTCTGCTCAACAACCACAAATCTGATAGAAAATCCACTTTTGTCTCACTCTGTATCTCACATGACCCATTCTACCTGGAGCAACAAAGTCATGGCTCTGGAGAGAATGTATTTACTTCAGCCGCAAGCAAGCTTTCATTTCAGGTTCAGGAAGACTTTTGTGGGAAGTCTTTGATGGATGGCCAACCCTCTTCAGTTGGAATCTCCCTGTTTTATTTTTTTCTTCTTTTCCTGAACTGCATAGAAAAAGAGTTCCTATTCAACATCTCAATGTTAAGGGTGTAGTTAGAGAACTTTCAGGGTTTCTCTGCCATTTAAAGTTTTAATCCTTGCAGAAGATCAAACCACTCAGAGCTGCTATTCTAACACTATACCACCTGTGCTACAATGAAGTAATTTCTATTTTCGGCTCTGAACCCTCTCCAAGCTGTCTATGCACTATTCTTTCTTAATTCTCTTTTACTTTTCTCTGATTACTTAGTTTTCGATAATGTTCCCTCCACATTTTTCTTAGTAAATGAAGCTCACTTTGAGGTCCCTGGAGAATAACAATATCAACGACAAAAATAACATAATAAAAAACAACCAGCTAACATTTGTGTTAATGTACTGAACTCTCAGAATAGCCAGGCACTGTTGTAACCACTGCACAGGCCTCAGTCATGCAGTCATCCCAACGACCTTATGAGACAGGTACCATCCTTGTTGAAGGCAAGCCTGTCTAACCTGAAGACACTCACACGGCCATTTTCTCAAATACAGATATTTAGTTTTCCACTAAATCGCTATCACTGAAAATAAGAATTGTATCACGAGTATTTTTAGGTAACTCATTATTCTGATCAGTTAATATACATGCTAATAAGCTGGGTTGAATGAAACTATAGAGCTTTTAGAGAGTAACTGGTTAGAAGCAAGATGGTCAATTTCAGTCTGTTTTATTCAGTTTACTCTCAGAAATAGTCCTTTTACTTGGTGGTAAATATCTCATTGAGACAAGAGACACTGCACTATCAGGGATAAAGGAGACATTCTTTGAAGCAAAGAAGTCAGGAAAGAAACTGTACCTCAAAACACAAAATGCCCATGGAACTTCGTTAATTTTATGCTATTCCTTCCCACTTGTCTCCTGCTCCAACTTTACACAGAAGGCTGAGGCATCTAGATCCTAAAAGTCCTTCTATGGATTGATGAGAACACCAGAAGTATATGGATCTTCTTTTACTCCAGGAAGATATTATGTAGGAAATAAATGCTCAACAAACAGTAAACAATAATGAAAATAAAGGTCATAACTGAGCGCCGACCGCTCTTGAAGGCAGTATAGAAAAACTGATATCCCTAACACCTACTTACAGAAAGTACTGATGACTTCTGATATAATAATATAACCTGAGGGCATCTAAGGAAAAAAAATTTTCTCTTGATAAATTATCCATGCCTCTTGGGATAGTGTGTCAACAGGATTTTGGGAGGGAATAAATAAAAGAGATCCTTCTGTGAATGCATAATGATACTGTAAGCTTGACCAGGAAGAACTCCCTCTCTGTGGGCCCAGGAAGCACAAAAATGGAAAACAATGGAATGAGCAAGAAAATTCGAATACCTTGCTGTCCCAGTTATAATGGTAGCCTAGGGTCACCCATCGCAGTTTCTCTAGTAAGCTTCGGGGTCTCCGTTTATTCACTTCTTTGTATCTGCAAAAATTACAGACAAAGGAGAATTTTATTGATATTAAATGGCAGTAACAGTTGTTTGTATAGATCTTGGAGTCTAAATGTGGTATTCCATGGTATATGCCATCAGCCAAGGTCTCCATTGGGGAAACTAGAATAGATAAGTTGGGCAAGAATATAATAATACTAAAAAAGTGGTAACATTTCTAATTTCTTGTCCTTGGTTCTAAATCCTCTACTCAATGGAATCAGTTTTAAATGGAAAGTGTCCAGCATCTCAATGATAAAACAAGAATGGCAACAGAAACATCTTTATCTGTCCATGGGAAACAGGACCAAGAGCACTACGAGTAATTGAAATCTGCCCAACACAACGTGTTCAATTTGGTTTGCTAAAAGTGGTGTATGATTAATCACAGCTATCACTATGACTTTAATGATGATGGCTTCCCAGAATTGCAGGTTGGGGCAAGTTTGGCAAAATATAGTATGTAATCAATAACTGGGTTAGCATGACTTCTTAGATAGCTTAGACAACTAAGGCTAGCAAACTACTAAGGAAGGACTGCTATAATTTGGTTTCTGACATCCCTTGTTCAAACTGCAGGAAGTTTCTGTAAAATAGCACTGCCCTTTCTGCAATTAAAGGCTTATTTGATCAAATCTGTGGGATCAACTTTTTCTAAAGAAGAAGGTTGTTGGTCTACTTCTAAATATCTAAAAATACAAGAATGCTAGGTCTAATCATTTTACTTAGTTTCTATGTAATTTAAGTAATTTATCAATCAAAATATTTTTGTTGTTCAAGAACTGCTGTTTAAAAAAGATCAGACTACTTTAAGGAGTTTGTATTCTGACAAGAGATGACAGGTAAGCATAAGAAGAAATTATGGGGAAATTTAAGTAGTAGTAGAAAATCTACTACTAAAAGGAACAGCACAAGACTTTGTGGGCCACTAGAATTAAGAAAAAGAAGAGCTCAGAGTCAGTTGTCTAATCAGCTGGGGCTTCGTGGCAGAGTTGGGAGTCGAGCGCAGCACTGAAGAATGGGCAGCCTTTCAACAGGGAGCGACGCACTAGGCAACACAGGCTTACGGCAGGAGCAGAAGCAGCAAAGGATTTATTAGGGGCTCAGCTCTAAGTGACACTCATCTTGATACCTGACCAAGAGTTTACAGAATAGACGCTACCTGTCTTCATGAGTTTACATTCTAAGGACATTGTGATAGACACATCAAGACCAGTAGCTAAAAGAAATAAAACACACCCTAATTTATTTAGGACAGCCACGCAGAAAAGAGGCATAGCAGGTCTGACTGTTATCCTTTGACAGGCCTGCTTACAAGGATGGCCCTTGGCAGGCTGCTGAAAAGTGGATTTTGGAGGCTCACACCATTCCCAAATCTGTAGCTCACTGTGCCTAAATTGTTGGTACTAACAATACAGTACCAACTATATTGGTACCAAAGTCTTCTGCTGTTCATTTTAGTAGGTTGGTATAATATTGAATACCTGCTTTCCTTCTGGGAGTGTGAAATTTTGGTATGGTAGACAGAGACTGCCACTGCGACCGTGCTAGTAAAAACCTGGGCACTGAGTATCCCTAGCAGGTAACACTTCACACATCACAACTCGTTGCCAGGAGAATGAAGTGCATCTTGTGTGACCTCACTGGGAGAGCACTCTGGAGCTTGAGTCGGGTTTTCCCTGGACATTGCTCCATGTCCTTTTCTAATTTTAGAAATTAAAAAATTTTGCTCTGTATTCTTTGCTAATTTTGCTCCGTATTTTTTCACCACAATTACTTTTTTTCATACGTACAACTAGCCTGAGCCCTGTGACTTCTCCTGGTTAATCACTAAACTTGGGGACCTCTGGCATAACAGGATAGACAACTATTAACAATTTAGGGAAAAAGATATGTAGGCTTGGACAGTGACTGCAATTAGCTGACGTGAACAGTTATGTATAACCACCATTATTTAATGTGTAAAAACTTTAAAAGAAAGCAACACAACCTGAGTTCTATCAATGTTTCTTCAGTTAAAGGTAATATAAAAGGATTTCCTGATACTGCTTTCATAAAAAATATTCTATTTTAGTAGCATTGAGATAGAAAAATAAGTATAACCTCTTACTTCTGGACTCATGTGAATCTGGCAGTTAATATTAATATAAATAGGAATATAATAGGGTACTTATATAAGTTACATAAGTACCCTACAGAGGTAATCCATTCTATTTATTCCTCTTTCCAAGATACTATTTAATACCTAATTTCTTATTTAAAGATAATCTCATACACCTGAAACTAACAGAAAGTAATACTGAATGTAAACTGTAATTGAAAAAAAAAGCAAAACATCAAGAAAATCTCAAAGACAAAAGAAAATGCTGCCAAAGAACAGAACAGTGATTTCATGGATATTGAAGCTGTGTGTTTTCAATGAAGGAGAAAAGAAAGATGCTAAAGTCAGTAGTGTATAAATGGAATCTAGATCTCAAAATAGATGGGTGTCCTGAGGATGTAGACAGCAAAGGGAAGAGCTGTACAGAAAGCTTTTACAGAGCTTGTGTGTACCCTACTTAATTTCTGCCAAGTGGTTTTCAAACTTTAATGCTCTTCATAATCACCTGGAGGGCTTGTTAAAATTCACACGCTGGGCCTGCACCTATACATTCTGGTCCAGTAGATCTAGGGTGGTGCCTAAGAATGTACATTTCTAAGTTCCCAAGCTACTGGTCTGGGACCACACTTAAACACCATCCTACACAAAATTTAAAAAACAGGACAAAACATTTCCATCTTTTTCTAGAACCCATACTATTACATAAAAATCAGACTGATCTGAACAAAGAAAGATAGTAACATGTAGCTCTGGGAATAATTCAGAAGGTGATTGTATTTTAGACATTTGATATGGCACCAGCGAGCTGCCTTTCCATCAAAAGATTCAGTCTAATGTTCTTCAAAAGGGTATACATAAAAGGGTATACATAATTTTAATTAACATAGGTTTATGATATTAACAATAAAATTATCAAAATTACAGTAACAATCAAGTAGGAATGAAACTACCCTATAATATGCCTTTTTAAATATAGTTCCTTTTTTTAGAAACAAACTATCACTATAAAAGGAAGGTTTTGGGTTTGCCTTATAAAAGGGGATTGGTCCAAGGATATAAAAGATGTCGGAGCTGTCCTTTCAAAAAGCATTAAACCCAGTTCTCCTAACAGAAAAGAAAAACAAAGCTCAAGGACTTGATTAGTGAAAGTTGTGATCACTGAGTGTCTATGCCATTTTAAGAATTTAATATATATTCTTGTGTAATGTGTTAAACCCACGTAGGTATAAGATTCCATCCCTCATTTCATACCCTCTTCTAAGAACTTGACTTCACTTTTTACCTTTGTATAGAATTTCTGGAAGTAGCAATAACTGTTTTAACACTTGCCTTTCAGCTGTGAGAGCAGCAGAAGTGGCCAACACCAGATACTTCTTGTCTGGGTATTATCTTAGGGACACTTCTGGTTCCCATGGACCTCTTGGGTAAAAAAGTGTCCAGAAAAGTCACCCCTGAACATTGTGGACAGCGTAAAGCCAAAATTGAATTTAACAAGCTCCCAAATAATTTCCAAGCAGAATACTGAGAAATTAATGAAAGGCATGGGTAGGCTGTTCTCTTTTTAAACCTGACTTGTCTCAGTGCCAACAGAGCTGCCACAGCCACCCTCAGGAATGCAGGGAATATGCTGGCACCTAACCTTAAACCTTTATCAATTATAAAAAAAATGTTTTCAAGCAAGTGTGACCCTAATTATTGGTTCTTGCTGCAAACAGAAACAGCCAGGCTCCCTGTCCTGGCTGCCCCTCCAGGCACTAGCAGGAGGATGATGGGCGGGCGGGCCACCTTCTCCCCAGTGAATGTGTCCACACAGCAGTTTGCTCACTCTCTGTCATGGATAAGTGCTGGCATTTCTCTCAGCGATCATGTTCCACAGCGCTGCTTTCAACCAAACCCCTACTTGGATGGAAATGAACTCTGTGCAGTGGTAGTTTGGGTGTCATAATTAAGCATTAGTATTTTCTTTCTGGCCTGAATGGATGTTAGTGAATCACTGTGAAAGCAAAAACACTCAGAAAAGAGCCTAAAGTTGTTTAAAAACAACTTTAAAATGATTTAAAAAGAAAAACTTCAAAATGCTATTGCAGGTTTTGCTTTTTTCAATCATTTTTAAAGGCTTGGGAATTGTGCCTTTCACAGTTCTGAATATTTCTCTGCATAACCACAACTTTCTGTCTTAAAGTTCCATCTCCTGTCCCTAGAACTCCTTTTTTTTTGGGTATGAGTGTTTCCAGTTTTGTCTCCTTTCTCAACCTAAATCTTTGTTAATCACTGCAAATGGACACAAATTCTACCTTAATTGCTAACATCCTTTTGCTATTTTGCAAACATTTAGTCTTATCTAACCTACCTACTGTTCTGAACCATCATTCACATCAAGGGCTCAGTCCCTCTCTTACTTCCTTCTAGGACAATGAGCACAGGGGCCTGATCCAATGATCCAGTGAACGATTTCCATTCCCCTCCCCTAAACTTTTCAAAGTGTTTGCCCCGTTCTTCCCATCTCATTTCAGCAGTGCTCCCATTTCTTTCCACTAAGGTCAACTTCCCAAGCTGACCGCTCACTCAAGCCTCCATTGCATGTCCTGCTTCCCTCTGCCCTGCATCTATCGCACTTTCCCTTTATAATCAAGTCTTTATAAAAGGACTCAATACTTGCCATCCTCACTGCAATCTGACTTTTGCTATCACCTCTCTACCAAAACAAGTTTCTTCTTTTTACTTGAGTGGTGATCTTCAAATCCTATCTTAGTCTAGAAACATTTTCCTGTCTTAGCCTCTAATAGCACTTTTTAAAAATTGTTTTATTTTTTACTTTTATTTTTTTACCCAGAGCTGATGCTTCCTAGGGCTAGTGGCCTTCTTTTCTGGATTCACTATAATCAATGCTATTAATGGCACCATAACAAAGTCTAAAAGGAGCAGAAAGGGGAAAAGATTATTTGTTTTCACAATGAGGATATCAATAAAAGTTTTCATATATATATATATATAAAATGAATACAAGGCATTTCATAAGCTTATGGAACAAAGTTGCTTTATTTAAATTTGTATTTCTTATTCTTTGAAGTTATTTTCGATTAAATAATACATTCACAAAATTCAAAAGGTACACGAAATTATCCATTAATTAATTCCACAAATATATGGTAAGTACCTTTTGCACTTAAGAATAAAAACACAGAGCAAGGGGATAAAGCGGGAGGAAAAAAGAGGACTGATTAATTGGTAGGGGAATCACTTCTAGTAAGACATCAGAATAAAGACCTAAGGGAAGAAGTCACTGGTTATCCAAGAGAAAAAGCTTCCCAAGTAAAGGAACGGCGTTCACAGGGAACCTGAGCATGGCCCTGACTGCTGTGGCTCAGATGTTTGGGTGCTGCTCCACTGACTAAGGCCTCCAGCTTGACTCTCGGTCAGGGCACATGCCTGGGTTGTGGGTCAGGTCTCTGGTTGGGGGTGTGAGAGAGGCTACTACTTGACATTTATCTCACTTGTTGATGTTTCTCTCCCTCTCCTCCTTTCTCCCTGCCTCTCTCGCTAAAAATAAATTAACATCCCCAGTTTGACTCGCAGTGAGGGCACACGCCTGTGTTGAGGGCCAGGACCGCAGCTGGGGGCATGGGAGAGGCAGCCAATTGGTGTTTCTCTAACAAATAGATGTCTCTCTCCTTCTCTCTCTAAAAATGAATGAATGAATGAATGAATGAATGAATAAATAAAAATCTGAGTGTACCTGATGTGTTTAACGAATAGCATGGAGGTCAGTATGGCTGGAGAATCAGTAAAAAGGAATGGCAGGAGATGAGGCTGGAGAGGTGGCTAGGGCCAGATCACCTAGGCCTCGTAGACCTTGGTGAAAACTTCTGATTTTATTCTAAGCGTTGTATAACAAAGAACTTGACTGACTTTTGACTCTGGTTCTCCGGAGAAAGCTTTTAAACCCTCGGGAATGTCTATGTTATTTACTGTGGGCCCCAGGACCACACCCATGGGCCTGTCAAGCTAGAAAGACCAACCATCTAATCAGAGTACTGAGTCTTTTCAGAAGTGATATGCAGAAATTGAGTTCAATTATGTAATTAGTGATCTAATCAATCATGCTTAAGTAGTAAAACCCCAATGAAAACTCTGAACACTAAGGCCTGGGAGAGTGACCCATCCTGATTCCAGGGCAAGAGGATATGGAAGGATGCTTTGCATTCAGGACCCTTCTGAAACCGTAAGCGTAATGCTCTCGATTTCTGAACAGTTCAGGACAGTTACTGAACCTAAGGCAGTCATGGGAACTTCCCTATATTTGTGCCAGGTGGTCACAAGTGTGGGTAAGCTGGGGACCTCCCAAACTTGTGGCTGGTGTCTGAAGTGGGGGCAGTAAGTTTGGGGACCACACCCTTAACTTGTGACGTCCGTGCTGACTCTGGGTGGTTCGCATCAGAACTGAATAGCAGCACCGCTGATTAGAAGCTAAAAAAGATGATGTCATGTCTGTACCCTGAAACAGACTGAAGGGGCACAAGAACAGACACAGGGAAACTGGTCAGGCTACTGTGGTAAATGATGGTGGCTTACATTAAGGGGGTGGGGATGGAGACGCTGAGAAATGATTTTATTCATAATAACTACAGACCCTACTATATTTGCTAGAGAGTAGGATTTAAAACTTTTTAAACATGGCTGATTTGTCTGGTCTCCTGCTGACAGGTTGCTTCTCATTTTTTCCCCCATTACAAAGCTACAATGAAGATGTTTATACCTATTATACTCTTGTGCAAGAATCTTTAGCTATACTTACTCTTCAATGATAATAAACTTTGAACAAAACATAGAATTGAGGTGCCCTAATTTTGTGAACAAACATATTTATGCTTCTAAATTCAAGTATTTCCTATTTATTTTCTATTTAGACTTTCTTCTTCCCTGACCACAGAAACACAGGAAGTTGAAATTAAAAGGATCCTCAGAGGTCTTCTACTTCCATGGTTCTCCCTGTGGATGATATGGTAGATAACGACAATACGCAAGGGGATCTTTTTGAACAACAGACCCTCTTTCTGGTACATGCTGGCAATGTGGGGAAAGCTGGCATGTACTCTGACCATGATTTAGCTACTTTGGTGGCTTATCCAGTCCAATCCCTTTGTTTCCCAGACGAGAAAACAAATACATATCGGGCAGTGACAGAAGAACTTAGGCCCTAATCAATTTATCTTTAGAAGGGAAGGAGAGAGGGAGAGAAACATCAATGTATGGTTGCCTCTAGTACATCCCCTGCTGGGAAACAGCCTGCAGGGAACTGGCCTGCAACCCAGGCATGTGCCCTGACTGGGAATCGAACCGCAATTCTCTGGTTCACAGGCCTGTGCTCAATCCACAGAGCTACACCAGCCAGGGGCCTTAATCAATTTTTTTTTGATTTTTTATTTATTTATCTTTAGAGAGGAAGGGAAGGAGAGAAACATCAAAGTGTGGTTGCCTCTCATGAGTCCCCTGCTGGGAACTGGCCTGCAACCCAGGCATGTGCCCTGACTGGGAATCAAACCGGGATCGTGTAGTTCGCAGGCCTGAGCTCAATCCACTGAGCTATGCCAGTCAGGGCAATTTTTTTAAAAGATTTTATGTATTTTATTTTTAGATAGAGGGGAAGGGAGGGAAAGAAGAGAGGGACAGGAACATCAATATGTGGTTGCCTCTTGGGCACACCCTACTGGGAAAAGAACTGGCAACCATGTGGTTCGCAGGCAGGTGCTCAATCCACTGAGCCACACCAGGCAGGCCCCTTATCAATTTTCAATGCTGCCAGCAGTGTCTGAGCATATCAATTTCTTCCAACCCTTGACAACAGAAGGTATGAATATCACGTTTTTTTATTTTGGATAGAGGTTCGTCTGACCTATCTTAGAAGATGACAACTGAAGTTTCTGCTGAGTTGTTTGTCAGAAGGAAAAAATTACTTGAAAACACAGCCTGCTTTAATATCAAACTTTAAGCTCTCTTTGACTAATTTCACTTAAACAGCACTATTAGAGCAACTAAGTTCAAACAGAACACACAAAGCTGGTGTAATGGTTTTAAGAGGCTGTTCCAAGGATTTCTCACATACTCTTATTTAATCCTCACACTACTGAATGAGAAAAGGACAATTCTGAGGCATAGAAAGGTTAATAATCTTGCTCAAGTTTACAAAGCTTTTAAGTGACAGAGCTGGGATTTGAACTCAGGCAACCTATCTCTAGAACTAGTGCTCTGCACAGCACTTAACCCTTTGCAGTCTGGCCCTAACATAGAGAGAGGTGAACCTTTCCAGCTTCACCTCTTTCCAATTCTACCCATGACTTCTAGGAAGCACTTTCCACAATCCACCTCCAACACAGCCACCTAAACCACCATTCCTGTGTCTTATAAACTCTATTTCTGTACCTGCCAAATTGTATTTAATTACATGGTTATGTCTTTGTCCTTGACTAACCCACACATTTCTGGAAGGCAGGGACCCTGTCTTACCTGTCTTTGAATCTCTAACACTCAAACACAGTATCTGACACACAGCAGAAACTCAAAATTGTAGAAGTAGAATAAACACATGAAGGCACACTGTGCTCCTATCTCACAGAGCTTACTCTGTTTTAAATATAACCTCTTAGCTCAGGCTGCTTTCTCTACCCTAAGTAGTGTTTTTGCTTTTCACGTTGGCCAAACCCATCTTTTTGGAAGACCCAGTTCAAATGGACAGAGGAAAAAAAAGACAACGAGAACTCAATTAAAAAGTAACTTTTTCTTCTCTGACACCTCTTTCTTGCCCAAAAGAATTATTTCTTCCTCTGGCTCCCTCAGCATTTTTCTGGCTGAACTCTATTATAATTATTCCTGTTGATGCCGAATTACTGCCACAGACTATGTGCTCCTGAGTGCAGGGACCGTGGCCTAGTTTGTAATGCCAATGCTAAGCATCATGCCTGATACACAACTGATCCACAATAAATATTTCTGGAATGAATGAATATTGAAACAACAGTAAGGTACAAACATTAGTTCTCAGGAAGAACTGATCTACCACAGAATAGCTAGTGGAACCGACTTCATCTGGGACGCAGAAGTAAAGAGCTTTCAGTTACTTTTTGCCGGGATACCACTAGTCTTCAAAGGAACTCACTCTAAGCAGAAAAAAGGGCTGAAGCTAAATGAAAATCAGTCATCTGATGATTAATGAGAATGTACTTGATGTCTTAGCTCTGATAAGGAAATCTCTGAAACAGATCTCAATTCACTTTACTGTAACCGTCAAAGCACCTGTGCAAATGTTCCTCGGGAAGGCAGGTAACTGCTGCAGTCAGTTCCTGTCACTTCGTTACAGAATAGTTCCTTTAAAGATCTGTAGTAACTTGAATGAATACTAACGCTTTTACTGTAATTGACAAAACCTACCTTAGAAACTCTCTGCTCTGTTCCCAAAGATCTTGGGTCTCTTCTTTAGTCATATGTTTGTCCAGGTTACATACATTAGGTTTCTGGGAATATAACTTAAGACACTGCTTCACCCAGTGCCACTGATAACCTGGGAGGAAGGGATTTGGGATGAAAATAAATCCTATACAAAAGATGGGTGGGAAAGAAAGAAGAGGAAATTCTCCATCAGTTATTCAGATAATTTATTTCTGTTGACTTCCTTATACCCTCTACTTTACTATTTACCCTTCATTTCCTGTTGCTCATGCTTCCATACCTGTAAGCAAATGTTTTCATTCCTATTCTCTAATTTTAGAGAGAGAGGAGTTTCTTCAAGTTGATATAAATTTGATGAACACTAGATATCTACCACTATGCAAATATCTTCGGCTTTCAGCGTTAGGGTTATTCTCAAGAGAAACAAACGTTCCACAAATGATTGACTGCTACCCAAAAGTGAACTTTAGAATTGAAAATGCCAAAAGTGGCCTCTCAAATTTTCACCAGGTGTTAGACTCTTTAAATTACCACAGTTAAAATAAGGGGTGTGATTTCTGCCTCCCAACTAAAACAGCAGGGAGGGAATATGGTACGTATACCTGCTCAGTATGGCATGACGCGTACACAGCATGTGTGCTGAGATCCCTGTGACCTTGAAAGTAATCTAACCTCGGGTTTCTCCTTCGTAAAAGAAGGGTAACAACAGTTAACTGGAATCTGTGCATGGTAAGGATTAATTCACCAAACAGATACTAAGTACTTGCTTAAGAATTAGATAAAGAGGTAGAAAAACTTTGTCCGTTGTGAAGTACCTGGAGATAGGGCAGGTAGAGACAGTAAGCAGAGACTGTAATACAGATAATGCCTTTTATTTACTTATTTGTCAGTTTTAATTTTAAGTTGAATTTATTGGGGTGACATTAATAAAGCTATATGGGTTTCAGGCATACAACTCTCTAGTACATCATCTGTATATTGTATTATGTTTTCACCACCCCAAGTCTAGTCTCCTTCCAGCACCAGTTATCCTTCACCTTCTACCTCCCCCCACCCCTCTTTCCCTTTGATAATCACCACGGTGTTATCTGTGTACATGAGGGTTTTTTTTTTTTCTTAATCCCTTCACCTTTTTCACAGAGTTACCTTAGAAACTCTCTGCTCTGTTCCCAAAGATCTTGGGTCTCTTCTTTAGTCATGTGTTTGTCCAGGTTACATACATTAGGTTTCTGGGAATATAACTTAAGACACTGCTTCACCCAGTGCCACTGGTAACCTGGGAGGAAGGGATTTGGGATACCTCCGTATCCTCTGACCAGATGCCTTTTAAGAGCCTGGCTATGAAAAGAAACACAGACTGAAGAGGAGTCGAAGAAGAATAAAGAAATAACGGGAGAGTTTACAGTTTTTAGGGGTTAAAATGACCAAACCATGCTTATAGATTGTGAAGAAACAGCCTGCAGAAAACTGGTTAAAAATAAAAGTGAGGAAAGGAATAGAACAAAGTCCTAAAAGATATAAAAGGTGAAAGAAGGTAGGATCAAAAAAGTGAAGGGACTGGCTGAACTGTAGAAAAACTGGAGAATAAAAATGGGGACATTTGCTTGCAAGTGTGGAGGCCTCTTTGGCACTTCATGTATCAGTAAAATTCTCCAAGTAATTTAGGACAGTGACAGGACTGTCGATGTTTTCAAAGAAAGAAAAATGAAAAAACCCCCAATAATCTACCATATGCTATCAGCATTATTTTAAAAAGCTTATAGCACCCCCATAGTATAAGATTAAAGGAAGAATACTTCTGATCTAGTGCAAGCTTGAACAGTGACAAGAAATTTAATACCTTTTCAGACAGTCCATTTCAGACAACTGTTGTCTTCCTCTCAATGAGTTAAAATTGCCCTCTTTTAAATTTTCATGCATTGGCCTTAGGTTATGACACACAGAGCAAACCCAAATTGGGTTTTAATTCTTCTTGATGAGTACTTCCAGCTTTATAGCTGATATTTGTTAAGCCTTTACTATTAGCTAGTCACTGACCTAAGCACTTCACATGCATATTCACATTTAATCCTCGTAATAATCTCATGAAGTGGGTACTTCATAAGATTTTATATGTGAGGCCAAGAGAAATTAAGAAACTTGTCCAAGGTCGTATTAGTAGATGGCAGAGCTGGGGCATGAACTCTGGTAGCCTGGGACCAGAGCCTAGGCTTTACTCACTATCATGCACTGCTTCCCATCCCTCTTGTGTACAACTTTTCAAATATTCAACATTATCATGTCCCCCTCAAGCCTACTCTTCCCCAGACTCAATTTCTGGTCTTGAGACCCATCAGCTTCCTGTTAAGTCTCCTAAGGACAGGTTGCAGTGTTTCCAGTTTCCTTAAGTACAATCTGCCCTGGTTGGTGTGGCTCAGTGGATTGAATGCTGGCCTGCGAACCAAAGGGTTGCTGGTGCGATTCCCAAACAGAGCAATGCCTCAGCTGTGGGCCAGGTCCCCAGTAGGGGGGCACTTGAGAGACAACCCACACACTGATGTTTCTCTGTCTCTTTCTCCCTCCCTTCCTCTCTCTCTAAAAAAAATAAATGAATAAAATCTTAAAAAAAAAAAAAAAAAAAAGAGGCAGAATCCATAAGTAAACAAAATCCCTCCAATCAAATTAGAGTAAGAAGAGACTGTCATCTCCCATGTTTTGGACATTATATTGTACTTCTAGTTAATGCAGCTTACAATGTCTGCGAAGACATTAAAGTCTCTAGGGACACAGTGAGGTACCAATTCAAATGATGTGGCTTAAGTGTAAAATCCTAGAAAAACTCAAAAGCAAGTACACCAGCTGGGAGGGTGGACAGGGATGGGGTAAAGGGCAAAAAACTGTACTGGAACAACAAATTAAACAAAAATAAATAAAATTACCCTCCACGTTATTAATGCTAATATTAATACTAATACTTTAGTGGTCATACTGTATTAAGACCTATAACACAGACCTGGCCACTTAGCACAACAAAAAAATTAATTATTTCCTTTTAGGAGCATCTCTTGCCTTTACTCCATATTTAAAATCACAAGTACAATGTTAACTTTATCTCCTCTAGAAAGAAACAAGATGACAGAAGATTATTTGGCCAAATAAGGCACTTCCATATTTTCTGAATAGTTCATAATAATCAATCTTATTAAAATATAATTTTAAATGTTAAATTATTTTATATTAATAATATTACCCACTTGTTTTTAAAGATTTCCTTTATTTATTTTTAGAAAGAGAGGAAGGGAGGGAGAGAGAGGGACAGAAACCTCAGTGTGGGAGAAACAGCAATCAGTTGCCTCTCACACGTCCCCAACTGGGGATCTGGCCCAAAACCCTGGTGTGTGCCCCTACCAGAAATCAAACCGGACACCTTTTGGTCTGTAGGTCAGCACTCAATTCACTGAGCCACACCACCCAGGGCAACATTTCCCACTCATCATTATTACCTTAATCTATCTGTAAAGTGAGCTACCCAACACTACTAAAATAACTAAAATTCTAGGTTAGTCTGTTAGCACTTTTAACCTCGTTAATGATAATCCTTTTTAAAAATACCCGGCTATGATGACAGCAACAATTTTTAAGTTGTTATGCCATCTGAGAATATGGCGACTGTGTGTCTGGAATGACCACTGTGAATTATGCTATTGCTCAAAGCAGTTCTTCTGCTAGAGGAGGTGGGTGTTCAGAGAGTTGCAGTAGGGAGCCCAGAGTCAGTGTCCTAGTTTTTGATTTGTATCTGGAGTGCCACTTTCTGTGCTGCAAACAGCACTGCTGACTTCTGTTCTACTCTTTGGGAGTGCTAAATAAATGGAATTCTTAGATGATGCAGAATTTAGGAGGGGTTGGGTAGTGGAACATTCAATGCATTTACTTTCTTCTTTGTCTACGTATTAGTGTACAAGTGCCTCCTCTGAGATTAGACAAATGAACTGATTCCACCTTCTAGGTCAGCTGCACTCACCAGGATAGTCTTCGAGTCCATAAGCTTGCCACTTGCTGACTGGCTGAAGTCCTGCTCTGTATGCATCATGGTCACTGACTGAGGACACACTTAGCTGAGATCTGACCACCTGGCAGGAAGGAAACAAGTCAGAGGGATAAAGTTATTTTACGGGTCAACTCCAAGAACCTCAGATCTCTTAAGACATTTCAGGTATGGGGCAAAGTTAGGTGTCCTAAGTCTGGGGTCCTAAACTTAGTACCACTACTTACTTGATAAGACTTAGATAAGTCACTTAACTTCTTAGAGCCTCAGTCTCCTCATCTACATACTAAGAAACACTAGAGAGCTATACAAAATTAAGACAGGTAGTAATGAGAAGCAGGCTGATTTTGGCCTTTAAGACTACTTTTTCTCATGATACCACGTGTTTGTGATGTCTTATTGGACTCTGGTCATCAAAGCATACTGGAATACTCTGAGTCACTATGCTGTTTACTTTGGTTAGGGCTAAAAATGATGCTTCTGAGACATCTGCACACTGCTGGTGTTTAAACAAAGCTATGAGGAACACCAGGCTGGGGAGAGTGAGAGAATGGAAAGAGAACACTCTTAGCCATACAGAAACAAATGTATCACTAAAACACTGGGAACCCTGTTTGCTAAAAGTATAATATTTGCTCTTTTTTAGATAAAACTTCAAACAGACATTCCCAACTTTTTTGCCTTTGTTAATTAGGAATTAGGTTTTTCAGGGCCTCATGAAGTTTTATTTGCATGTAGAGCATCTTACGAATGGCTCATTAAATTGTTAAGAGATCCCACATGAAGTCATTAAAGGACATTTAGGAAAAAAACACAAACAACTTTGCTCTTTTCGTGAATAATAAATTTAGGGTCTGGCTTGCTTTAGAATATATCAAATGTTCTCTTCCAAAGAGCTATGTTCTCTTACCCTATTAACTTCACCAAGTGTGGAGATTTCCAGGCAAAATACCAACATGTAGCTGGTATATAACTAGTCTGTATAATAAAATAGCTACCTGGAACTCTCTGAGAGTCCTGACCAAGCTAACTCTTTCCAGGTACCTAGAGGCTAATAAAATGTTTTAATTTTGAACACTTTGTGATGATTTCTTAAACAAACCACACTTAACAGTGCACTGTAATTCAGCAATACCCTCAAAGTAAACTTGTGGACCTATCATATGCTAAACTGAACCAAATTCTGAGCTTTTAGTAGTTTTTCTGTTGCCTCCCTCAGTTTCTCCACTGCTCTTCATTACGTGTCTTTTAGTGGTAACATTTTCCTTTAATATGCTACTTTCAGTCTGTCTTTTGGGGGGGGGGTGAGCAGTGAATACTCAATAGTGTATTTACAGAGAAGTTACTATTTTAGGTATATGCTACACAGAATGTCACCGTCTCAGGTGACTTACATTCTAAAAATATCTAAGCATTATAGTCAAGTATGGGCAAAAGTTGCTGAATGAGGACCTGAGGGCTATCCCACAAATTGAGTGTATTATTCTTGGGGCGCAGACTTTCTGTATGTTTTATTGATAACTCTAAAACCATTTTGGCTAGTGAGGTTTCTTAAGAAGCTGAGCTCTAGATAAATATGGTGGTATTATGGCACTCCAATTTTATTGAGAACTATTATTAAACCTGGAAAGAACACCTCATCCAGCCATCTGGGTACAATACCAACGGCAAATTAAGGGCTCGGGTATCCTCAGTGCTAATGCAATTGTAAAAAATATCTCTCTCCCTTCCCCCCCTCTCTGAAAATAATAAATAAAATATTTGCCCTGGATGGTGTAGCTCAGTGGATTGATTGCGGGCCTTCCAACTGAAGGAGTGTGGTTCGATTCCCAGTCAGGGCACATGCCTGGGTTGCAGGCCAGTTCCCAGCAGGGGACGCAGGAGAGGCAACCACACATTGGTATTTCTCTTCCTCTTTCCTTCCCTTCCCTTCCCGTCCCTTCCCCTCTAAAGATAAATAAGTAAATAAATCTTTAAGAAATATATAAACATTACTCTACAAATGTGATTCTCCCTGTGCCCCCAACCCCCACGATACTTTTCTTAATTTCCATGGGAAAAGGTAGAAACAACGGACAATGCTTGGACTCGACAGCCCTTTACTTTCAACTCAGAGAGATTACCCAAGTCTTGCAATGCCTTCTTTCTCAAAGGCTCAGACAAGACAGGTACCGGCAGTTTTGAGCAATAGCTTGACAATATCGATCTCTCCCAGGTCTGGAATTACTCGGGTACTTGGCTCTTTCAAGATGCAGAGCGCTTCCCATAACGTCTACGAATACGGCTTACAGTAATTTACACAAACTAAGTAGAAATGCAAGTTAATGGAAGGAGTAAATACCAATTCCCAGACATTTCTGATGGAGAGCGCAGCAACGAGTGGCCCCGTGGAGAAACCAGTAGCAGAGCTCTTTTCCGTCAAAATGTGGCGTTTTGTGGGCAGTTCAATTTCGTGTCCACGGGGTCTGGGATCGCTTCATAAGAAACCTCTTACCTCTGTACGCGGTAAGAGGTGGGAACAAGGAGACCCCTCCAGAAAGCAAGTCAAGCCGCCGAGCAGGCGCGCGGAGCTTTCTCCATACCTTGTGGGCACCGGGCCCCGTGCCGCGGGTTACTTGGGCCGCCGAGAAGTCGATGACCCCTCCCAGGTCTGCGGTCCCGGGGCGGCTTTGCCGGTAGAAGCGGAAAAGCTTCCGAAAAGCGTCCTCCCCCGGCTCCGTCGCCAACGTAGCCACAGAGCCTAAAACCGTGGCCATTTTTCCCATCTCGCCGGTCGCCGTCATCTGACTCGGAAGCAGATTTTCGTGCTCCGGATCTGGCTAATTCTTCCGGGGTCATGAGCACACGTCCTGGTTGTGCCTCCATCTAAAGATGGCGGCTTCGGTGGTCAGGACTGCTGCGGCTCTGAGGACGAGCGCTAGTCGGCCCATTGCTTTTGTAAGAAAAATTCCTTGGACCGCAGCCTCGAGTGAGTGAGGGAGATGTAGCGGGGGCAGAATTTTTATGTGTAAGCGATCCTCAAGAGCCCTGCTTCCTGTGTAGCGTTTAAATCAGCGTGGTGGCTGAATTAGGAGGCTGGCTGCGGTTGCTTCTGAGCCCACCAAGCAGCAGAATGTTTGCAATTAATCTTTTAGGGATGTCTCTTGAGCTTTTGGAGCACGAATTCACGGTCTCCTGCCTTTTGGGGTGATTTGGTAGAAAAAGGGCTTATTACTCTGAAACTTTTAAGATTTACTATTTCGAAGGGATTATTTTGATGACCGTGTAGGGGATGAATTCGAAGTGGCAAGAGTAGAGGCGAGGTGAGGAATTAAAAGTCAATTTCAGTAATTTAGTTGAAAGATGAGGGCCTGAACTAGGGTGGTGGTAGAAGAGAGGTCAGATTCACTTATGTTACCAAAACAAAATCGACAGCTTCTCGGGACGGCTTGAAGGCGGGTAGGGTACAGAAGGAAGAAAGGGGAGGAATGAATTCCAGGTTTTTAGCGTTGGTGAATTTCGTGGTAAGAATGTAGAAGTAATTCGAAAGGAGATGAGTAAAGTTTAAATATGCTGAGTTTGAAAAACCTCTTAAGGTCTTCGTCAGGCAGTTGGACAAAGGATGTTGTGTATCATAGGTTGAGAAGTGCACTCTGAAGCCATACTGCTTGGGCTAGAATTCCAACTTGGCCATTTAATAGTTGTGTAACCTGACTAACGGGAGGTAATTAGGGTAAAGGGGTCACCACTGCGCATCAGTTACTATAAAATGAAGTCAATAATATCTTTCTCCTAAGATTGTTGATTGGATTAAGTGAGTTTATATGTAAACTACCTGGACTTGTGCTAGATACAGAGTAAATACATGGTAGTTTTCACGATTTATAAAATTGAAGCTCATGGGAGAGGCATAGACCGCAGAAAAGAGGGTTGGGAATAATCAGTACGGAAATCTCTCACCAACTTTGATTTCTGTCACCTCCTGTTTTGAGACAAGGTTTTTACCTTTGCTTACCAAGTAAGCAGTTTTACAATTTGCATTTTTAACAATTTAAAATTTTACATTTGCTTATGGTCACTTTCATAGATAATCTATGTATCAGACCAGCTCTGTTAAACGGTGGAACAAGGATTATGCTTTTCTTAGTTTTTGTGGCCCAGCTAAGACTGTAGGATGGGGTTTGTGTCCCACCTTTTCATTATGTTACAGGTGTAGACCACGCCCAGTGATATGTCTAGTTTAGGCCTTATGAGACTGTGGAAATGTTCAGGGATTTTTTCAGTATCTTGAAAATACCAGATCCCAGACCACAATGGGCTGATTTTAAACTTTCCAAAAGTCTCTGTATAACATTCCACTTTGAAACAGTTGCTCTAAGTTCCTTCCTTCCTTCCTTCATTCAGTAAGTAATTAAGGAGTATCTGTTGTATGGTAGGTATTATTCCTGGTGCTTGTAGCTGTTTCTCCATAACAATTGTAGATAATTTGGGGAAAAAGTTACTTTCCAGAGCTAGTATGTTTTAGAAGTGCTTGTTTTCTAAAACGTTAATATTTGGTTTAAAACATGTATATTTAACACTTTTGTTTATCCTCCAGTAACATGTTCTGTGAGATTATGATCTTGCCAACTGGTTTGACCAACTATTAGAGCTCTTCAGAAATCAAGTCCCTGTGGGTTTTTGAAGGATTCCTAGACATTTATACATTTAGCAAATATTGCCTGACTGCGTATCAATCACTGTGGACACAGTGGACTCAACACGCGGAGCTTGCACTGTAGTGGTGGAGGTGAGGAGAGTTACGGATAACAAACGTAGGCAGGTATTGAACCAATGAAGTTAAAGGAACTAGGGGAAGTAAGCAGGTAATATAAATGCAAATCAGAAAGTACAACTACTGTAGTTCAGAAGAGAAAGAGATCATGTAGTGTTTTTTGGTCTTTTAACATTATCCACTGTTCATCTTTGAGCCTTCACAGGGCTAGTATGTTGTCTTGTATTGCAGTAGAAGCCCAGTAAAACAATATTCAGTGTATGTATTTGGCCTCGGTCTTGAAGGATGGTTACAGTTTGGGCAGGAGGAGATAGGATTACTGACAAGGAAAAAGAATGACCTGCAAAATGGGAACCCACAGGGCGCATACACAGAATTTCATTTGCTGTACAGCAGTGCGGAAGAGGGCAGGAAGGGTAGGATGGGTCAACTCAACTTTTAGAAAACCAACTATTTAACCTGGTGTAAACTTTAAATTATGAAAGGCAGATAAACTCAGATATTATTTGGAAATCTCTAATGTAGCTAGTGACACTCTATATTGTAATTGTCTCCTATGTGATCTCATAGGGAGTATTGTACCTACCACAGTACCTGGGATGTGAAGGCTACAGTCAGCTCAGCAATTTGTCTCTGTGTCCCCACCCTATCACCTCCCCCCAAATCTGGTACATTACAGCTTTATAGGCAATACCTTAGCTGCCTTCTAACTCTTAAGGCTACAGGAAATGCAAAGTAGCTCTTTTTCACAAGATGTTTGGGGGTCTAGGACCCCCTTTGGTTTCTATCTACAGTGTAGGATATGATGGATACAAAATGTATTAACTAGTTTTAATACATTTTCTAATGCAGGTGAGCTGAGAGAACACTTTGCACAGTTCGGCCATGTACGAAAGTGCACTGTACCTTTTGTGAGTATTACTTTTTTTCAGTATTGATGTTATCCTTTAATTCCTGATGATTTTTTTTTTCGTCAGAGCAATCAACTTATCTGAACATCTAATGGAGTGAAGCTGTTCAGTCTTTTTTTGATACAATTATGGGTGATACTGATTAAAAAGTTTTAAAAAAGGAAAAACTTTATTCTAGGCATTAATGCTAGTTATTTATTGTTGTATCAGGAGTCCGATTTACAGAGGATAGTGTGTCATAAAGCTAATAGTGAAGAATAGCTATTTTAACCTTTTTCCTCATTAAATTGGGCACTTTTTTAAAAAGTGTTTTTATATTTATTACATTTCCTTTGCTTTCTCATGAGGGTTTAGAAATTAATCTATAATTTGTTCTACTTTATCCTGGGCAGTATTTTTCTGTGGCTTTCCAGAATTACTCTTTTTGGCAGGGTATGATATGAGTAGAGTTTACACATGCCTTGCTAAAACTACCCCCTATTTTGCCCATGGCATTGAAAAGGCTATGGCAAAATATCAACCTAGATTAAGTACTCAAACTCTCGCTTTAATGTTGATTGCCTTCCAAAGTCCAATGGGTTACATGTCCAGTGCTAGCGAAGGTGTAGGAAAACTGGCACCCAAATTGTCAAGTTTAATGGAAACCTTCATTTTAGGAGGATAGTTTGGCAAAATCTGTCAAAAATAAGAATTTGCATTTGCTTTGTTTTACCAATTCTAGGAATTTAATCTACGGAAGTGTGCGGTGAAAATGTTCAAAGCAGTGTTGTCTAATTATAACAGGAAAAACTTAAATGTACATTGGTGGGATTAAGTAGATATTAATTCATTGATACAGTGGAATTTTATACTGTTGATTTAAAAGAATGAGGTGTGTATATTATGGACACAAAAATCTATAAGCTTAAAAACTGTACAGTTTTACAAAGAGTATGAAATGTGTTTCTTGATGCTTTTCCAAAAAAAGTTACAGCTATTTTTTGGTTGCCATTTCCCTCTCAAAAGTATAAACAAAGTAATTTAGGACCTGTACTTAACAGATCTTAGATTGAAACAAAAGGTTTAAACCTAAATAAAATGTGACAGGAAAAAAATTACTAGTTAAATTCTTTGTATGCAATTTAGAAAACCAGGTTCCCATTTTAGATATGTAGTATCTAAGTTTTAACACAAATCAGTTTTAAGTCCTGTCTCCAAAAGGTAGAGGAGAGTGCTTTAGAAATTGTCTTGTTTACCTGAAGGAATGAATGACTGGGGCATTACTAGAAACTTCCTGTGTTTTAGGTTAACACATAGGTTACTTTTGAAGGATGGGGGCAGTTTTTAGGAGCTTGGTTTTGAGGAGCAGAGCACAATAAGACTTTGTAACAAGACTGATTATGTACATTGAGTGAATAGACATCTTGGTATCTGTCCTTTACATAGTAGGGCTGATAGGGGTGGGGGCAGGGTAAATCCAGGCATACCAGAATCTCTTTTCTATGGGTGTATAGGCTGAGTGATAATCACTCTGCCTTTTGTACAAAATAGCAAAGTTGTTGAAATTAACCAGAATTCTGGAACTAGGTAAATAAGGGTAATATATATATTTTTGTGCTTTTTATTAGGAGTATGAGATAATGTAATGGTGGTGATGAGGGTGATTGGTCTCAGAATTACTAGAGATATAACAAGTTTCTAAAGCTTAATTTCCTTTCTAGAAGTGAGGAAGCTAGAAACGAGTACTTCTTTATATGATAAAAATTTCCCTTGACTATTGCAGTTAAGTGTGTTTTGTATCCAGAATGGCACAGAAAACTCATTAGATTTCTTCAATGGCAGCAGAAAAGCAGAGAGAATGATGTAACATAGGGATTAAGCTTTGGTTAACTAGGAGAGTGAATATGCATTAAGGTTTTTGATTTGATTAAAATGTCTTATCCCATTTTGGTAAATGAGAAAGTTGGTAGCTTAATGTGGAGTTTATGGAAACTCTCAACTTCATGATTGTTTTCTAAATTTTGAATTTTTAGGACAAAGAGACTGGCTTTCACAGAGGAATGGGTTGGATTCAGTTTTCTTCAGAAGAACAACTTCAGAATGTACTACAACAGGACAGTCATGTTATTGATGGAGTAAAAGTAAGTATTTTTGTCATATCATGAGCTTTCTGTGTCAATAAAATAGGTCAGAAGTGTGAAATGACAGGGATTTGGGGAAATTTGAGAATGGTGGAGGTGGTGGTCGAGTGCCCAGTTCTAAAAGGTCTGGGGAGGGAAATAAAGGAAGACCCTGTAGTGGTTAGCAAGCATGTATTTAACACCAAGTAGTGGACACAGCAGTCTACTTACAGGCCAGGAGTTGAAATCCTGGCTTTTCCAGTTACTACATGACCTTGGGTCAAACTGACTTACAACTTTTAATTGAAATTCAAGGAGTCTTATGAGCAAACATCCTCTTATTGGTGCTGACTTACTAATAAAAATGCAACCTTAAGGTGGCAGTCTTCAGGGTTTTTTTTTTAAGATTTTATTTATTTTTAGAGAAGGGGAAGGGAGGGAGAAAAACGTTCACTGGGTGCCCTGGTGACCTTTTGCTTTGCAGGACAATACCCAACCCAACTGAGCACACTGGTCAGGGCAGCAGTTTTCCGTTTTAATGTTTTTGCAGACATTGCCTTTCTTTACAGTGCTTATTTGATTTTTTCAGCTCCATGTTCAAGCTCAGAGACCAAAAGTTTTGCAAGGGGATCAAACATCTGATGAAGATTTTTGAGGCTGTTATTGCCTATTAAATAAAGTAACACAACTGAAAATTTTGTCTAAATGTTTTTATTTGAAACAAATAGGTGCACCAAGCAAGCGCTTAATTTTCCCCACTCCAGATTAAAACAGCACAACAGGGGCAAACATCATTTGGTAGGACAGTTCCAATATGTGAACATCCTTCTACTCACTGTGGCTGGGGTAACTTATAAGCTGTCATTCTTAGACAAATATTAACCCCAAAGTTCTAACATCAAACAAAAGGAAGTGGTTTTAATTTCATGTGTGGGACAGTATGTTCTATAAATGCTAAAAGGTGGGAGAAGCACATACACAACTCACTCTTTAAAAAAACTAAATAGTTCAAAGTAGAATTTTCCATCCGCCCTTTCTCCCGTAGTAAAAAGTAGTGCTGGGGTATGATACCCAAATTTGGTTTTTATCTGGCCCATTTACAAGGTGTTCCCCCATATGACTTGCATCATTAGGGTTATGGATAATAGTCCATTCACTATGAAGAGGTGTATCTACTCCTTCCTCCTCTTCTTGCCTTCATGCTCATGTTCCTTGGGGCGGCTGCTATCTGAGGGTCTTTTAGAGCCACCGTGCTGTTTGGCTTCTTCCAAAAACTTGTCCAAACCAAAAGGATCTTCCTCAAACTGAACTGGTCCTTCTCGACCTCTTTGCCTACTACGGTCTGAACCAGAAAACTCCTTATCGGGAACAAATCTACAGAAAAAGAGAAAGGACTATGAAATGCTCTGTTCTCACTGGTGCAAACACTGAAACTGAGCTGTTTACTTGATACCTGTTGGTCTTTATTCTGGCTTCTAGGTCATCACCGTACATGTCCTTATCCAAATTCTTACTGGGCCTGTAAATATTCTGGGCCATGTCTTTACCACCTCTCCAGGCTTGATCATAAACATTGTAAATTTCGTCTTCTCCACCTGCAAAACCACTATCCATACCCTGTGGAAAAAGAGGACATTAAAAATACATGTAGTATTATTAAAAGCTCCATCTCACTACATGTGAAGACTACTTTCATGTGAATCTGACTACATTTATAGTTCACATTTTCAAGTGAACTCAAAAAGATAATTCATTAAAAAATGTTCATACACTTGTTCAATCATCTTTGTGTCCTTAGATAAGGGTCTCATTAACCAGTCTGACTACTGTAGTGAAGTAGTCAAAATGGAGATGCTAGTATAAGTAGATATTTGGCTATTTTAATTTGTATAGAAGCAAGAAGATGAACTAAAACACCTAATGCCATTTAGAGCAGAAGTGTCAAACTCATTTTCACCAGGGACCACATCAGCCTCCTCATGGTTGCCTTGAAAGGGCTGAATGTAATTTCAAATCCTTAACAGTGCTTTTTTAAAAAGTGTTTTTATATTTATTATATTTCCTAAGCTTTCTTACATTCTGGACTGTATGAATGTAACTACTTAACAGTTAAGGAGTGGTTACATTCAGGACTGTATAAATGTAACTACTTAACAGTTAAGGAGTAGTTACATTCAGGACTATATAAATGTAACTACTTAACGGTTAAGGAATGGTTACATTCAGGACTGTGTAAGTGTAACTACTCCTTAACTGTTTAGGACTATATAAATGTAACTATTCCTTAACTGTTAAGGAGTTGAAGTTACATTCAGCCCTTTGAAGGCAACCGTGAGGAGGCTGATATGGCCCCTGCTTTACAGTAACATGCCTCTTAACTGCCCGAGAACATCACTATTATAGCATGATAATAGAGCTCGCAATGAAAATCTTAAACTTGTTTCATATATTTAGAAAAATAACATTTAAACCTGAGCTTGTAAGGGGTGACTGTCAATTATTTACTTACGTAGAACTTTCATTCCTACCCCCTTAGTGCAGACTGGTATGATAACACTGCATGTTTAAGAACACAAGCTTTGGAATCAGGACAGCCGGTGTTTGAAATTGGAGTTCCATCAGTTACTAGCTAAACCTTTACTTGTCACAATCTCATCTTTTTTTTTTTTCTCTAAAGATTTTTATTTATTTACCTTTAGAGGGGAAGGGAAGGAGAAAGGGAGAGAAATATCAATGTATGGTTGCCTCTCATGTGTCCCCTGCTGGGAACTGGCCTGCCACCTAGGCATGTGCCCTGACTGGTAATCGAACCTCGATCCTCTGGTTCACAGGCCTGCACTCAATCCAACTGAGCTACACCAGCCAGGGCCATAATCTCATCTTTAAACAGAGGTAATAACAGTGTGACTTTATAGGGTTTTTGTAGAGGTTAAGTAAGATAATACAAGTAAAAGAACAATACCTGCAATTTAAAAAGCACCCAGTAATATTTAATAAGGAGAAGAGCTTACTATCTTTTTTTTTAAGGATTTTAATTATTTTTAGAGAGAGGGTCGGGAAGAGAGGGAGAGACATAATGATGTGAGAAACATTGATCAGTTGCCCTTCTCCAATGCGCCCTGACCAGGGACTGAACCAGCAACCTAGGGGTACTGCCCTGACTGGGAATCGAACCAGCAACACTGGTAGGACGATGCCCAACCAACTGAGCTAGATAGGTCTGGGCACTACCTTCAGATTTTAAAACCTCCAAGTCACAACTTTTCTCCCTCTATACCCAGTAGAATTTAATACTTCTATGTTTTTAACACGGCCTGCCTCGTCTTTATTTATATACACATGTCCTCTTCTCCAGTAGTCTCAAGTGTTCTTTGAGGGCAAAGGCACATCTATCTTTGATCTCAGTCATGCAGAGTAAATAATCAATGTTGCATGAATTAAAACACAAAGGTACTACTTCCAGCCTACTGTGTCCTAGCTAGTTAATGACAACTGGTACTAGAAATAAGATTTCCTGACTAATTTTAATCTAGTTTTACACACACAGTTACAGTTTTTAAAGATCCCAAGTTTATGTGTTTCAATACCATTACATTTTTTTTTCAAAGTTCAACAAAAATGAAGAGATACTCTTGTAGGACACTGGCTCTATTTTAGAAATAAAAGAATAACATACCAGAACCAAGTTTTATAGCCTAATCTCTTTCATTTTCTACTAGAGTCTTGATTCTTAGCTAATTGTAAAAGGTCAAAATTAGAGGTGTTTCATCTTTCTTGTCTCTTTACAACATGCAACTTCCAATTTTTTCTGTTGTCATGCTAGCGTACTTATCTAAATCTATGCTATGTTTATATGCTTTTCCCCAAGGATCGGTATTCATCCAACACTTAAGATACGCTATTTCTATTGTACCTTGGATTGGTTGAACAGCCTTTGGTCATACTGAACTTCATTGGAAGTCCGAGGATTGGGTACACCGAGTGCAATGGCCTCACTGATATCTCGATTTTCATTTCTCTGCAGCTTTGACCTGTTTTGAAATACAATGTCACTAACTGAGAAGCCTTCCCAGACAAGCTGAATTTCAATTTTAAAAATACAACCAATCTCAGAAGCAAAGGAAATGAGTTTTCTGTTAACATCTCGTGAACATATATTCCCTGATAATGCATAATCGGGCTGGCAGCCTTTACAGCATTTCAGATAGTTGATTATTAAAAGTGGTAGGGTTTTATAATTATGCCCTCCTATTAGCTGAGAAGAATTGTGAAGAGACTCATTCTTGACATAGAAGTCTTTAAAATACAAGCAATCACCTTCTAACACATGCTGAGATATGAAACTGCTGTAGTCTATATTTGCTATTATTAGATGGGGGCGCTGGATACAAATTAAGTATATCACCTGAATCATTTTCAATAAGCTAGAATCTGTTTTTTTTTTACCCAATCACATTTAGTAATTTTTTCCTGTTAGAATTTTTAGGAAAGCACATCAATGACTGAATTACTCAGTATGATTTCTGACATTCGTATTAATTCCCCTGCTGTTTCTGTATGTAATGCAATCTACATCACAACAGAATGACAGAAACCATGGTAACTGTCATTTATTTTGCTATAAACTCAGGTCTTGAAATGATTTCTATAGAGCACCTGATTTTCATCCAATCACCAGTTTACAGTTTTTCTGTTATCAATTCTCATAGCCACTTCGCTGGTTTTAGGGGCCCAATTTATGCAGAGTGTTTTGATTTTTATGGCTTACGAATTTCAGACCAAAAGTGTATTAACTGTGCTTTCACACTTCATTCCTCCTCCTCTGCACTGTACATTTACCCACAACTCTAAATTCAAATTTTCTGCTTTCCCATGACTTCATTTATCCAGGGAGATGAAATACGCCATTAAACAACAAAGAACACCACCAGCAGAAAAATCATCTTCTTCATGTTTAAGATATGAATTGAAAAAATGGACTGTATCTGCTCATAGGATGAGTCTTGAAATCTAATCATTAGAAAAGAAAACGTTTTATATTTGCATTTAACCCTCATTCAGAATTTCACTTCCATATTATAGCATTTCCTCAACTTTTCAGCAATTTCAGTCTTCAGCCTTTGGTGAACTACAAACTCCACTAACCCCTACTTTATTCGAAGTTTGTTCTGTGACAACTCTTGTGCTTCTTAGGAGTGCTTTGTCTATATGTCAACTATATGTCAGCTATCTTGATCTAAAAAGTGCTTTGTCAATTTTCCCAAATCATTTTATATAGTAGCTCTGCTGTTTTGAATTTTAGGTGAGATTACTCATGAGAAAAGACTAATTTTCACTTCTTAGAAAACGTGCTTTGCTCCCACTGTACTTCCTGGAGTGCTCTGCATGTAGAAGGATCTCAATAAAGGCATCACAGCCTATTTCCTGTCTAGAGGAACAGGCACATAGTAAATCTGTCTCATCATTTGAAATTGGGAGAGAACAGACCAGAACAGTCCTCCTACCCCAGTACCTTCTTTCACAAACATGATCTGAATTTCCTTTTCTGTATTCTCATCTTTCTCAAGTCTAGCTGACCCTACAAGGTGATGGAAGAAAAGATTACTTCCACAGATTATCAATTCTTCTGTTAAGACAAATTAAGTTCAAGAAAGTAAGTGCTAATTTATTAAGTTATCAAACTAAAGAGAAGCCA